CCGCTTAGCGAGCAAGGGGCGTGAGCTTCACATCACAACCATACATCAGCAAGTCTCAGCCAAACAGCATCAGGATTCAGGTGCAGACGTCGGTCCAAAGAGACCTTTTTTTTTTTTTTAATTATTATTATTATTATTATTATTATTATTATTTTTGTTTTAAAGAGACCTGAAAATCGCGACATAAACAGCATGCACCTGCAGGGCAGTATTTACGAGACACGTCCAAAATCCGGACAACAGCACATCAAGCAAGGAGGGCAGTCCCAAGTGGAAGTGGAAGAGGAAGAGGAAGAGGAAACAGCAGTAGAAACCAAAGGACAGAGAAAGAACCAAGGAAGGAGAACGGTAGAGAAGAGAGAGAAAAAGAAAAAAGAAGAGAGAGAAAGGAGGGCAGGGAAGAAGGAAGAAAACCCAACGCGTCACTTGGTAGCCTTAAACATAGAAGTCGACCACACGGCTATGGAGCCTGGATAGAAAGACAGGCGTCGTGCCCCCGTGTAGCACCAGCGAAAACACCAAGCTCACCGGCGGGCGACCCCACTATTTTCCTCCGATCGCCGGAATCGGAACTCATCAGGGGTCTGTCTTCGTCACGATGGAAATCCGACTCGTCTTCAATGCTAACAAATATATATATATATATATATATATATATATATATCGGTGAAACTCCGACGAAACAGTTTGTCACAGCCCCTCGTTTGTTGTCCTCTTCTCCCTCTCTGCCTACGGTTTACCGGGCAGTTCTATTTGACGATATATATATATATATATATATAGGCTACCAGCCGGGCCTCCCGAAAACAGAATATGTTATGCACAAAAATCATCTGAAAAACGTTTGCCTCAGCGTCACATCGAAATTCTCTACCAAATTTAAAATAAAAATAAAAATAATAAAATAACTTTCTTTCTTTTTTTTGGCCCGGCCGGGCAAGTGGACCCGGGCCACTCTGGTAGCCTAGTATAGGACCCGAAAAAGCAGAAGGACCGAGGGACTTGCCATACTCCTTGGAGAGTACCGGTTCCGACGTAGAAAGGACCAGGCCCGAAAAAGCAGGGCCCGTTTCAGCTGTGACAGACCCAAGTTCAAGACCTCGAGAAACAGACATCACACACCAAAGACCGAGTCTCAGAGAACAAGACCAGCTTAGCAAGAGACGCAGATATAGGAGCAAGTCGGAATAGACTCAAAGACGTTGGTATTAAGTAGAGACCGTGCGAGAGACCGAACGTTGGAGACCACAGCCAAGACAATAAAAAAGGAAAAGAGGCCTGGTGTCCCCCTACCCAGAAAAGGCCAGAGAAAAAAAGAAAGAAAGAACTACCTACTACCTAGTGCCCCCTACGCATCAGGGCCCATTTTACCGGCCCATGAGTATAGCCCTATCGGGAAAATACTAAAATAGTAAATAGTAAATACCTATTCCACCCTGTGTCTTTTTTTTTTTTTTTTTTTTTTTWTTWTTATTATTATTACACCCTGTGTCAAACAGTACAACTTGAAAGTGTCTGATCGAAGATCTCATCATGGAAACCCCACAGTCTCAACTACTCTTTTTCAATGCAAACAGAAAAAGCGACTTCGGTTCCGCCCTGCGTATAGGGGTAAACCGCTTTGCTCTCAGGCTGTGCAGAAAAGACCCGACTACGGCCATTTTCTGTCTTTTGCTTTGCTCACATTATCACATATGAACCGTCATGTTGCAGAATTTGCAAGCCAATGCCATGATGTTCCACTATGCAGCCCTCATTCTTAAGGACTGCTGCACATTTGACCCCCATAGGCCAGTCCTTAAGAATTGCTCTTGCATTCAAGCCAAGCTGTTTCAAGTGTAAGGTTCCACTATACAGCCCTCATTCTTAAGCCTTAGGCCAGTCCTTAAGAAGAATTGCTCTTGCATTCAATGCCATTTGCACAGTTGACCCCCATGTTCCACTACACAGCCCTCATTCTTAAGGACTGCCAGAGCTGCTCGTGC